CGGTCAAGGCTGGTCATACAGCGGTCAAGGATGGTCAAACATCAGTCAAGGCTGGTCATACAGCGGTCAACGCATATATTTATGCCAGTCAATGTTACACTATTTTTTTTTCTAAACCAACTAATCCATTATATAAAAATAATACAACCAATCAATTCATACACACAAGAGAATGCATAGTCTGACCTACTTTGACTTTAACCAAACTTTATAAAATAAATCATGTGCTATGTTAAATAGTTTAAGATATATATAGGAAAACTAAATATACAAAGAGTTTATAAACAGTTGAACAAAAGAAACTAGGATAACAAAAGCGCCTTAGAGGCTACAACAGATCCTAGCTACACAAGAGTAACTCCATAACTACACTCTAAGCTCCATCGCTCTCTTCGTCGTACTCTCCCATCAAAGGCTCACCGGTGGCCTGAAAAGGGAAATGGTTAGACTATGAAGTCTAAGCAAGCTATAAAACAAGGGGGATCGTTCTTAAGTCTAGGTTAGGACTTAACAAACCCCAAAGGATAAACAACAACAATATAAAAAGGGAGCATACTCGTCCCTTTTTCCATACATCAACATAATCCATATAAGTTCAACAGTTGTATATAAATTCAATATACAACAACAACCACAACTGTGCCAATTTGCAACAGAAACATCAATGTGCCAACCTGCACAAATAATCATAAACAATATGCCCTCTCCAGCAAATAACAAACACACTATATATATATAAGCCCACACCGACATAAACAACAACATAACTGCTCCTACTTCAAAGCACCGGAGACTTTAAACACACCACGTGCCCAACGCATGCATACCCCTGCTATCCAGCGTCAGGGTCAAATACCCCGCTTCAGTAGCGCATGGGTATGTCCACTCCAAGTGCTACCAACAACACTAAAACAAGCAATGTGCCCACCGCAAACAGACAACATTTACCAAGTGCCCACCGCACTGGTAAACCAATCTCAAGTTCCCACCGCACTGAGAACATACAAACATAAATATATATAATGTGCCTCTCCGCAAAACAACAAACATCATTTTATCGAAATGCCCTAGGAAGTCAAAACCCAACCAGACACGGCAAAGGTTAAGGCCGAACTCCCATGGGAGTATACAGAAACAAAACCCCAATGGGTTTCCGTCT